CGGGTTCCACCGCGGTTACATATATGCTTCAATCCATATATGTACGCTGACCCCTTGGAGGCCCTTTTGCTCTTGTGCCCCGTGCCCCCGCAGTGCCTTTGCTAGCCTTAACTGCCGTTCCTTTTAAATATTTCGCTCTGGGGTCGTTTTCCCTTTGTCTCTCCCTCTCCGCCCAAGACTGTGTTGGAGCACACGCTCGACCATATTTTCCTCTGGCCGGCCTGGTGGAAGATGCCCTCTCTGAGCCTTTAGTCACTCCTTTATTTGCACGTCTGTTACCGGTCTTTTTTCCTTTTGGAAGGGAAAACGTCTCTCCTTAGCCGATATATTGCAGTCGTTTTAACGAAGGCTCAACGTGGAATCTGGATTGATACTTTACCCATTATTGGCATCAACCATATTTGGTGCACTGAAGGAGCAACGAAGCTGGGCAACAAAAGTCGCGGCCTGACTGTTTCGCGACGCCATCCATCTTCCAAAGAAAAAAGACACTCCCTTATCCTGTGATCTTCAACATGATTATCGCATCTCGACGAAATTTGCATGACATGAGTATGCGCAGAGCACCGGCTACCTTATCCAGTGGCAGTCTGCGGGTTCCCTTACTCGACTCTCCACTACCGTCTCCAAGTCTTCCCGCTGCCGTACCTCGACAGGGTAAAAAGCCATTGCCAAGATGGTTGATACGGCTCCGGAGGCTTGCTCTGTGGATTGGGTGCTTGGTTGGAATATTCTTTTGCATACAATCTACCCCTTGGTTCGCTCATCTTGACCCAGTCACGCCGGTAGGAGCTACTGGAAGCTATGAGATTGTTGAGAGTGATACATTGCCAGAAGTAGCTGGTCCAATTCTAGTGGACGACGAGCGTGGAAGGGCAAGGTGGACTATTTCCTTACCAGAGAATCTCGATTATCCCCTCTCTCCTGCAGAATACTCGAAAATATGCAAGGACGCCGAGGCAATGTCACTCCATCTAGCCGATGGAAAAGAACATAGTGGATATTACCACGTGGATAAGAATTATATCGATATTGACGAGGCGAAGCGGCGAGATATCATCCCATCAAAACTCAATGGACGCATTCCCAGAAATGTTGCAGATAACGTCGTTGGTGGAGAGAAATATCTCAAGATGCGGGATACCATGCCTGTCTGTAAGAAGAGCTTGACATTTGTGATGCAGACGGAAGATGCAGGCCTGGGGGCTACCTTGATGGGTTTATGGATGAGCTATGGCCTGGCAAAGAAAGAAGGACGTTCATTTTTCATCGACGACAAGAACTGGTCTTATGGTCGATATACCAATTATTTCAAGCAACCTCCGTTGCCAGACTGCCAGCCTCCCCCAGTTTCGCATAGAACTCCATTCCCTCACCACGCACGCCATCTTCTCGTATCATCGGCCACTACTCAGTGGACTTTCGGAACCAAATTCAACGAGCGGTTTGAAAGCTCACGAAAAACAGGCGCTGACAGGCAAAAGGAGATGTTCAAATTCCTCCGCGCGGGATACGAAGCACTCTTCCATATCGACAGCGACGATGCAAAGTACATTGAGCAACGAATGGCTGAGATACGCAGCTCTATTCCAAAGGGCGGTGGCCCTCTAATCAGCATCCATGTCCGCCGTGGTGACCGCCATCCATTCGAGTTCCAGTACGAGAAGTCCTACATCCCGCTTGATATATATGTCGATGCGGCAAACGAACTCGTCACCTCCTTTTACAACCAGAGGTCTATATTCTCCTACAACATCAACGGCAGTAGTAGCAAGAAGGCCTCCGAAGCCCAGTACAGAGCTACATCGAGCATGATTCTCGCCTCTGATGACCCAGAGACTTATACTTCTCCTGAGATGAAAGGCATCGTCAAGGCGCAGTCAAACCTTGTGTCAAGTGGTGACGGACCTCTGGACGGCTCTCGAGATCTCCCTGAGGAACCCAGTGGTAAATCCGCTAAAATTGTTGCTAAGAAGCCCCAAAAGGACCCCAAAATTGACTGGGACGGTGGCTTTTTCAACAGCATTTTCTGGTCTCTTGGGGATACCTCGCTTATCCCTTCGGCGGAAGGCAGCCCTTCCGCGTCTCAGGGGACGTCTTCCGTATTCCCCCCACATCGCGTTGTCCGCGAATCGGAATACGAGAGACTTCGTTTCAACCCATCTCCCGAGGCTCTCCGGTTGCGCGAGCTTGTTGCTAAAACATACCTTAACGACCTATCACTTCTAGCTGAGGGAGATGGTGTTGTTTGTGCTGTGAGTAGTACTACATGCCGGCTATTAGCCGTCATGCTGGGATGGAATAAGGCAATTACCCATGGAGCTTGGAAGAACGTTGATGGGAAGATAGACTGGATGGGAATTGTTTGATCAACGGGTCATGCCCTTCTTATTTTCCTATGATGGAATACACGGCTAACGGTCTGTTCTGGAAGAAATTCCTGGCGTTTTGTCTTTATTTTTGGTTGGGCTATTCCACTGAGCGCTTGCAGCGACTTTTGAACTCATCTTGTTTTCTTCATTCGTTTACATATCTTCTTCTTCCTCTTTTTATTGTTCTTTTCTTTTTCTCCCCTTTTTTCGTTTTAAAGCAACATGATACCCTACATATCAGATGTCTGTCACCCACATATGTTGCTGGCCACAAATGTCATAGAATATTTTATTTCTGGGTTTCACAGGCGACACCACACGGTTTGTGTACCGTACCTGGAATGGTTTACCATTTCCCAGCGGATATTGATATCCGTCCGGAATGCAGTATTACGATCTACCCCCGCTATGACACTACCGCGAAACAAATAGACAGTGAGGTAGATGAATCAGGAATACATATGCTTCCGACAGGTTCAAGTTCGAGTTACTTTCATTTCGTGTAGTAGCATGATTATTACTCCGTATTCCCGTAGTAAAGATTAAAAAGTAGCAAAAATGTTGTTGTGAACTAATATTTAACTAGCAACTGAACGCCAACGGGCCCTCCCCCAAAGAAAAGAGAATAAAAGGTTGTGGTATGATACCTAGAATATCCGCGCCATCTCCCATCCATCGATTGAAACGGCTTCCAAAGTTAGAGCCAATACAAAGAAAAGTAAGAAAGCTAAAGAGAGGCCAAGCGAGGGAGGCAGCATTGTAGTGTATTTGAAAAGAGTTTTCAAGAAGCGATCTCGAGTTCGGAGATACGGCCAGGCGCAAAAGTATCCTTCCATTCATCCCACATCTTTTCCAATTCTTGAATGTATTTTTCATGCAGTTCATCGATATATGAGTCTTCGACCTTGCTCCTATCAGTCTGCTGGATGACTGGAATTGGCCTACCAACAACTATATTCAATGGTCTGCGATATGGCATCAAGCCAACATCATAATTGAAGACACCCCGAGCATGGAAAAGTGGGATAGTGAAACCCATAGAGCTTTTAAGCAGCATCTGGAATCTATGTATGAGCGGATGCTGGTCTGACTTCACCTGCTCATACAGCTCGTTTTCGCCAAATGCGAGTACAGGAACAAGGTCTGCGCCAGTGCGGATTGCAAGCTTGACAAACCCCTTTCGTCGGCGCAGGATCAGTCGGAGGGTATGTGGCTGGGCATCAAGAGATTCTCGCGCACCGCCTATCACAATGGTAATTGCACGGCCCATGCCTTCTTTATTCATTCCACCCTTTGAAAGGATATTTTCGCAGGATTCACGGGATACGCTACCTAATCCCATTGCTAATGCCCAGTCTCGGTAGAAAGGAAGTCGGAAATTGGAGTCCAGGGTAAGCAGGGTATTTGTGATTCCCGGGAAGAGCTTTGAAAAGCCCAGCCCTTCAGTAGCGAAGGCTGCGAATGCTCCATGAGAAATAATCCCGTGTGGGTGGTAGCCAAAAATATACTTCCTAGTTGGTGGGAGAGGGACTGTTCGGTGAAGGCGAGCCGGGAAGTACGAGCCAAAAAGCTTCCATATGGGCAGGGACCGAATGAAGTTACTTCTCCTTGAAAGCCTACCATCTGTCGCAGCCTTGGAGAATAGTGATATATAAACCACGTATGGAAATAGGATGGGCCAGAATAAGGGGATGGCACAGCAGAAAAAGAAAGACATCAAGCAAAATGCGATCGAAATGGTATGAAGGAGGACGACGAGGGTCTGAAGCCGCCGTTTAAGGCTGATATTCAACGGAGCCCATCGAATTCTATCGTAACAAAAAAGAACTATCTGTTAGTTTCGCTATATTCCCTGCGGTTTGACCCGAACAAACGTACCCCATACGCTGAGTATAGTCGCTCTCAGAGTGAGGTAAGAGGGTTGTCGTAGTATTCGGCTTGAATGGGTCTGACCTCGTCCTGACCAGACCATGGCTTCTTCGAGCCGGCAGAGAGCTAGGCATAGCGTTTGCTACGCTACTCGTGGAAGAGGAGTCATTGAATAGCGACTCCGGAGCCGAGTTTACTAGGCTGCGGAACTGTCGCATGGAGCCCGAATAGTTTTCCCCCGCTTCGCCCTTCATTTCAGCGAACACTCTATCAATGTCGGGCATGGGGACACGGTGACGTAGAGGCGTTTATTTGGGCCGGTGGATCGAGTGCGGTGCTTCCGTGATGTCTTGTGTGGGTGTTTCAGGATCGCAGCTGGGGGGCGCGAGGTTGGAAAGTCGTCTCCTTGGGCTCAGAGATATATGTGAGCGTCCCCGAGCCGCAGGTGAAGATTAAAGTGACTCAAGAACAAAAGATAGACCATCGCCTGGCTACTGCTAGGTGAAGATGCGTAGAAGGGATGGCGTTGGTGAAGGCGAAGCGGCTCTTGGTTTCTAACTACGAGGTTGGGCTTTGCTCTTGTGGTGACGTAATAGCTTGACTTCATATCGCGGCTATCGAACTTAAGTTACTCGCGTCTATTTAAAATATTCACATGCATGAGCCTCCTTAAGTTTTTCCTTTTACTCCTTTTTGGTTTGACCCCTTTCGATAGGTTTAAGAGGAAGAAATAGATACTGAAATAGACAAATCCTTCCTTCACTCTAGCCCGAAGTTTGTGATCCAGGTGCGGCGGTACTCTTGAATGACTAGCTCGATGAATCGGCAGGTAGACTCATGGATATCAATTGGTCCATCGACCAAGAGGGAGTTGTAGTTCCTCAGCATGTTGCGCAGATGAGTACGGAACCTAGCAATCATGATAACATAGTATGTGTGTAAGGGATCGTTGACCTTCCAATTAGCAGGCGGAGGGGAAGTCGGCTTTCTGACGGTGTGTTGCAGTGCCTGAACAGCGATTGCACAGTTGGGAGTGTTGATGGTAGTTCTAAACCCATCAATCGAGCCAAACGGGGAGTAATGCCATCTAGAGCGGATGTTGTTGAAAATGCTGACATAGTGATGTTGACATTCTTCAATAAATGTGTCCTGTTGGTAGCGGCCTAGGCTTTGGAGCTTCTCGCGGAAACAGACAGTAAATTGGTCAAGTATCGAAGAATAGAAGATGGGGCATTTTTGGCTAGGTAGCCAGCCAGCTGGTGGTGGTTGTTCAGGTAGCTTTACTGCCTCCTGGAGTGCGCGTGCAGCAATGGCAAAGAAGTACCGTTCGGTATTGTTTTTGAACTCAAACCCTGGCGGAGTGGGAGGCGGCGGGGTTAAAGGCGACGGCAGGGAGGGCATTGCTGGTGATTCCGGCAATGTTGGCGAAGATGATACCGTGCTGGGAGTAACAGGTTCAGATGGAGTAGTTGGAGTAAGGATGATCCCTGGAAGCCCCTATTGCTCAAAGTGAGTATATTAAGGCCTTGCGCGTCTATGTGGCCCAAATACTCGAGAAAAAAACAAAAGCTAGCAGAGTAGATACCTTGTTTGCATCACCAGAGAAGAGAACAGCCGGGACGCGGATCATGCCGTCGCTGTCAACAACGTAGAGGCCAACGCTAGTATATTGGAGTCTTTCGCCCAGGGTGCCTTCAATTCGAGAGCAGGAGTCAAGTGCGCAGCATCCTCCATAGTCAGCTCAGACAACGCTGCCTCAATCCAGCTCAAGCTAGCTCTTTGAGGGTCAATCATGGTCAAGAACCAAGTGCAGGAGAATGGTTGCTGCACAAAGAGCCTAGCAACAGGGCAAGTGCTGACGTCACTCTCAATTTCCACTCTCAGAATGAAGCAGTGATATATAGGCTAATTCTTTAAAAACCCATTCATTAAAAACCTGGCCTGAATTTAGGAATTTGGTAGGCAGCAAAGAAAGGAGGGTGAATATATCCAAAGCCCATGTTAGACTCTGACAGGGATGTCATGGCAAAGTACTGTGAAGGGTAACGATATTTTATAGACGCTTCTTCTCAGGTCCAAAATGCATCTGTAAAAATGATTCCAGGCTTTTCAAAGAATATTGAATATAGGTATAGATAAATAGAGATTGAGATACCAAAAAGTAAATTTTCAAAAATAAAGTAGAATTATAGCGCTTCATGGGTATATAAGATCATCTAATCACTTTTCAGTTGGATCTATTATAGAGAATATTGAAAAAGGAACCTGTCCATGTGGGAGAGATATGGGCAAAGTAGATGGTATCAACTTGTGGTCATAAATATCTGTCTTTTTGTCAGCTAGGAGGTCTTGATGTGACAGGTAGCAAGAGATAATACCTCGTTCAATGACTTGGAGTCCATAACTGCTCGTCTCTTTTGCTGTATATACCGCCCTCGGAGAAGCTGTCGAGAAATAGGGATAACCCTTTCCTTGACAGCAATAGGTGCTGCTGGTGTTGATGGAGAAGTCTCCACTCTCTTGGTGTCCTTTGTATCTTCTTCACTAGGTGTTGATGAAGTTTCAGCCTTATCAGCCTGTGCTTCTTCTTTTCGTTTCCGCTTTTTCGATTTCTTCTTATCCTTCGACTTTCGTTTCTCGCTCTTCGAATCAGTCTCGGCATCGTCAGAGGTCTCCGCTCTTGAAGCGGGAGCAGATATCTCCGTTGCAAATCCGCTATCTGCAATTTCCTCGGACTCTTGCGTTTCCCTTTTCCGCTTCTTCTTCTCCTTGGATTTCTCTTTCTTCTCTTTTCGTTCCTTTTTCTCCTTCTTTTCTCGTTTCCTCTTTTCCTTCGTGTCTATATCTTCTTCCGCTGATCCGTCAGCAGGCTTAGCATCTGCAGGGCTCTCCACGTTCTTATTTTCTTCTTCATTTGGTATCTTATTGGCTTTGTCTGGTACCAGGAGTCCGCCACCGATGAAGTTCATGCAACCCCATCTCCGCTCAATATATGTCATGGCTTTGATATCCCGTTTAACCTTCATTTCCTTTTCTATTTCAACTTCACTCCTTCCATTGAGTCGTCCCAGTAGGCCTTGGAATGCGTCTAATCCGGTGGGCTCATCGCCTATCAGTGGCCGGCGGGGTTTAGCTCCCAGCCCTAGGTTATCGTCTTTGAGGGATACTCGGATGTGGCCAAAGCTGGCAGCGGTATATGTATCGGTCCGGTTACTGTTTGCTGCACCCAAAAAGTCACCAGGCGCCCAGCCCTGGGAGGTCATGATTTTGTGTCCATAGCCGGACGTTGATCGAGTCCACGTTGTGTTATTCGGGTCATTTGAAATTTTGGTCCTCCTGACAAACAGTTAAATTGGCACCATGGCATTAATCAACAGTTACAGTCTGCGGACTTACTTCTTAGGAGCGGCTAGACCCATTGTGACGGCCTGAGGACTGCGTCTACTGGACAAGAGCTATGGACTTTCGAAATTGTTTTTATTTTATTTTTTATTTCCTCAAAAAAAAGTCGAAGTTTGATAAGATATTACTGTGCCGCCGCTTTAAGCAGGGTTCGTAGGTGAGAAGTTGTGGCCTCCTCTCACATCCACCAACAACGTTTATTCCCCGAAAATATTGCAAAATAGAGCACAAATGTCCGAGCTATGTGTGTCAAGCCGATATATCTTCCATGCCGTCGTCCGCGAGGATACCAATATCGCTGTTTATCTTCCAAGCAGAAAATGACGCCGCAATAACATGATTACTTAATGTGACATGCGGAATAACTTAAAACCGAGCTCCGCTTTTGTCCCTTTTGGGTAATCCTGGACTTCCCACCACTATTCAAAGTCTTCAACGTCCAGCAAGTTTGACAGACTCAAAGGAATTCAAAGGAGTCCAAAGGCAGTTCAAAGAAGATTACATACGCTGTTGTGTCCTTGAAACCAGTCGTCAGAGGGGTAAAGCATGGCTGCGAGACAATCACAAAAACGGAGACAAGCAAACGCCCGCCCCAGAAGCAACCGGAGGGCAAACACGGCGGAGAGCGAGAGCGGGCTATCTGCCAATTCAGGCGCAGAAATGACCAATTTACTCAAGAAACTAAACAATTCTGTGAGCAGCAAATGCTGTTATTAGCGCTGCTTATTTCGTTGATGTCTGCGAAGACGATAACTGGCTTCCAGCGTATTAACCAATGTATCTTCGCCTCTCTAGGTAGCAGGAAGGAAGTCAGCTAATGACGGGCGCAAGAAGTTTCAAGCCCAACACAAAGCGAGTGTCAGGAAGATTGAAGACAGGTTCAAGGAGGTCTCTCGATCGAATAAGCAAGCCATGTAGGTGCTGTACTTGAATTTAGATTGCTAACTCTAGTATTGTGCCCGGTTTTGGTACCCAACAACTCCCACTCAAAGACACAATTATCGCTGGTTTATTGACATGTCAAATAGTCTGGAATATCGTAAGACTCAGCTGGACCGGCTCCAGGAACTGGCAAAGAGAAAACTCGAGATTGAAAATGAGATAACTAAGCGTGTGCTATTGCTGGAGAAGGAGTACAAGGAAGCAAATCGAACTGTGCAGGCCATGCTCCAAGAAAAGATCAAAACTCTCCAGGAGTGAGAAGAATGGCGGAGCATCGATCTTTATTGTTGCATTGTTCATCTAAGGAATAAAATAGAACATGCAGGAAGAGGAGAAACAATAGTGTTTGTTTCTACAGCCATCAACTGACTGACTGACTGATTGATTGCTATCTTTTATTGTCAAACAACCGTCTGAAGGGTCATCTTTGACCAGATGTGTCTGCTTTCTTATAGATTATAATACACCTCAAATCAATACAGCTGCTGCAGTGTTGTGTGTCTCTTGTTACTATTATTGACCGCGTATAAAGTGAACTGGAACTCTCCATCTTCCTATCTGAACACTTCCTTTAAGACTAAATAAAGGAAAGCTGCCAGTCTTCAGCTATATCATGTTTAAATTGCTTCCTTTAAGCCCTTTTCTTTTCACTTTTGCCCAACAGAAAAACTAACAAATCTTATAACTATCAAAACCCAGCTGGAACTCTGGAAGCAGCATCCTACTTTTTGACCTAAATAAAGATATATAAACCTACAGCCGTCACTTACACCTTCCTGTGATATTCGTCACCTGCTAGAGGAAAGCAAAATAGCAGGAAAATAAAAGGGAAATTCACTTGCGACTCACTCTGGCGTTTCTGATGCCGCGGATGGGTGAAGGAAAAACATGCAACCTCTGGACACAGCCGTCTGCGCAACAGGATATGCAGCTATACCTCTGCTGAACAGACAGTCCATGCGCTCGCAGTATTCGCTATAACCGCTATACTCCAGCCCAAAAAAAAACTACCTCACGCGATGGCTGTGCGAGTCCTCTGCAAGGATGCGCCGGACCGCACAGTTGTCCTCGTGGCAAATGGCTACGCCCTCACCATGCGCCATCACCAGTCAAGCGAAGAAGTATCCGGGAACGTACAGGTTCTGAGCATTCCAAAATGTATTGTCGAGTTTACTACGGCCGATTCGATACCCCTGGCTGAGTATCGCACGTTGGGAACTGGACTTGGAACGCTCGGTCTGATCGCGCTCGCCGCTGGTGAGGTTTTTATATGCATCGTCAACCAAGCAACCAATGTCGCCAGCGTGAGGCCCGGAGAAACAGTCCAAAGGATAGACAGTGTTGACTTCTGTACGAAATCTTCAGTCTCCTACTTCTTGCGGTATTCCATTGATTGGATGAGGCTGACAGATATAACATAGATTGCTTGAATAGAGCTGATTATGACCTGGTCCAGGATCCTGAGTCTGATACGTATAATAACCCTTATGGAAGAGGTTACCAAGGATACGAATCTCCAGCAGAAAATCCATCTCTAGCATTGAAAAAGCTTCTGAGTGACGGAAGCTTCTATTACAGCTCTGACTTTAATCTGACCGAACGCATTCAGGACAGGTAAGATCACGTATACTCAACGGACTGAACTTGACGTCGGCTAATTTCATTTTTTTTCTCTCTCTTCACAAGAATTGATGACCCCGTTGCTTACGACGTTGAGAGCCTGGATGAAGATTTCCTGTGGAATTCATTCATGATCAAGCCTTTACTACAGCTCAGAAGTGGACTGAGTCTGAATGATAGGCAGAGTCTAGACTCATCTCAGCTTCTTATATCCGTCATTAGGGGCTTCGCTCAGTCCTTAACCATACCTGCTTCGTCACCTCTGTTCCCACACATTGAATCTAATATGCCCTCGAGCTTAACAGTAATATCGCGCCTTTCCTCTCGCCGTGCCGGAACTAGATTCAACGCCAGAGGTATCGACGACAATGGAAACGTTGCCAACTTTGTTGAGACTGAAACTATTCTATGGATACCTCCTGCCTTGTGTTTTTCTTATACCCAGATTCGAGGCTCTGTACCTATATTCTGGGAACAGGAAGCTGGTTATATACCTGGACAGCAGAAAATCGCCATCGGCCGCTCTGCAGGCGCTACGCAACCCGCATTTGACAAACACTTCGAGGCTTTAGCTGAGAAATATGGGGCTGTACATGCAATTAACCTGCTTGCTAAAGCAAAGTCTGGAGAAGCGGAGCTGTCACAAAGATATATGTATCATGTTCG